TGTGTGTGTGTGTGTGTGTGTATGTGTGTGTACTTTTCTATGATAAAATATATGCAGATATTATAAGATTATTCAATATTATAAGATTTAACAAATTTTGATTTTTAATTTAGATAATTTTTACCAAAATGCTTTATATTTTTTTAATAATGTTATCGTAAATACACGAATTTAGTTAAAATTATGTGAATACAAAAAAAATTCGAGATAAGTCGAATGGGTACCCTCATATTAGTGGGATATTAATAATTAAATTTTTGGAAAATACAAAATATAAAGAAGTGTTAAATTTTATATAATAAATTTTTTAGTATAAAAGTATATTTTTTTTTAAAATCCCATTATTAGCAGGTTCGATTTATCTCGAACAGTTGGTACTCGAGAAACTTTTGTACCCATGTATATAAAAAATTACAATAACGCATGTATTTTATTATTATTAAATATATTTCTTTAACCACTGTTGCATAAAGAAATCATTCTATCCGTTATTTTTAATAAGGGATTTTTAGTCATGTGTGGCAGAACATATTTTCTCGTAAATTTTAATATTATATTAAAGATGTGATAAATATGGTAATTGTAATTGACATTCCACTAAAATTATTACTATTGTAAGTAGTTTGAAGATTCAAGATTCACATTATCCTGTAACAAGATCGCTGATTGATCATTTGACGAGTTAACTTTTTTTTGCAAATGGATCTTGTAAATTTTAATAAATCAGAATACATTAAGTTCGCTTTCCACTATGAAGATTGTTCTTCTTTGTATAGGATACTAAACAGCGTAGGGGTTTTGGCGGAGGGATTTTGATATTGAGATAGTTATCTTGAACGCTATGAAAGTGTTGTTATAAATATATCAATTTTACTTTTTATCGTGATATTATTAAGTTTTATATTCGTAAATTAATAATTAATAGTAAATACGATCTAATTGTTGTTAGTATTTCTTCTACGTTTATCAATATTTCATTAAACATTGGTTTAGAAAAATTTGTGTTATACATATTTTTTCGATGTTTTCGTATAATCCCGCATTACTAAAATTTGTTAATTATGCTTTTATATTATCATTTTTATTATATTTTGAACAGCATTGATAATTGTATATTATGTTGTGGATAATTTGTATTATAATTGTAATATCGAATTGTATAACGGATAATACAATAAAGAATAATATTAAAAAAAGGTTGCAATTTCATTAGCGGAATACAAGAAAATAATTAGACATAAAAATAAAAAAAATAATTAAAGATATACTTATATGCAAAAACGGGTTACTAATTTTATTAGTAGTTCGTTTGTTTTATGGATGAGTATACTTACAAAGAAAAGAGGACCGCCGATAAAATTGGCGGGGGTGGTGGAGGGCCTCTGCAGCTCGTTTTTGCTAAATTATACATTAAATTGACAATATATATTTAGAAAAGATTGAATTTATTAAAGTCTCTATAATCGCTAGAAATTATAGAGTCTTTGATACATACTAGTAATTATGTTTGATAAAAACGGGCTGAAATTTGTATAAAGAAATATATAACTTTGTTATTTTATAACATATTGTAAGATAAATATTGTATAAGACAAAATTGACTAAATTAATTTGTTCGAATTTTCAATTTTGTTTATTAAAATTCAATAACTTTTATTTACATATGTAGAAGATACGAAATTAAAATTTTTTCGTTCAAACAAATGGCCCATTAAATTATCTCTTCTATGGATATAGTCGGCACGCTTTTATCTTGAGGATTTAGTACAGAGACGAACCACATCTATTTTCAACGATCCGATTTTATCGATAGTGTCAGAAAATGTATGTCACGTAATTCCCAAACTGAAAATGGATGTACTGGCGGTAACTTACGGGTGATTTCGACGGTAACAGAAAAAAGGCTGGCATGGCCTCTGCTGCCTCTCTCAGGTTTCTCTTTGCCGCCAGCTTCTCACAACCGCCACAACCTGAACAAAGAAGATGCCTACGGAGTAAAAATTACTCCGTGGAGATGTCTAAACACCTGCTCTGTCAGTAAAGGTCTTTTTAGTGTGAACTTGGTACACCGTTGTTGGTAAAGTATATTTCATATATTACTGTTTAAAGTAAGTAAGCATAGGATAAATGTTTAAAATATATGTTTTTTATTCTATAAAGTTATGTTCTAAAAAATGTTTTCTTCGAGGAAAATTTTATTCGACGTGTTATAGTATACGTTACGTGTATTATATATTTCGAATAAAATTTTCCTCAGAGAGAACGTTTTGAAATATTTCATTTATTGACGAGATACAAGCTGCGATCGATTTGGACGCTTACACACTTTAAGTGCTTTGTAATCATTATTCTGTTTTTGTCGTTTATCAGACGTAAAATAAGAATAAAAGTAATTTAATTCTAATATTTTAATACAGTTAAATTGATAATTATAATAAGAATACGCTCGGATATCAAAGTTCATTATGACTGCAGCGCAAGACAGGCTACATGTCGCATAATTTGATTTTTTTTTAAAGTTCAGATTCGTATGACTTATCAAAGATTTTAATTGTATTATATTGAATATTATTGCGATATTGAGAACGATCGACAATAGGATCGAACCGTTTATTGTCACATTACATACTGAAAAGCGTCCAAATCAATCGCAGCCACTATGGGTATAACCAGAAGCACAACCCACTAAGCGCTCATTGAGCTCTTGCATTTGATTGGCATATTCGTTGATCTGACCTTGGTGACAACATCCAAGATCAAACTAATAAGATCAGTAAACTTTTTGAACCCTGCGACTTTTGTCTGAAACTCTTTTCTGTAAAACTTATATTTTCCGAGATATTTAGGTGTCCTGACTTTTTTGGGACATCCTGTACATATCACTGCACTAAAAAAGAAAAATTTACGAAATTTGAATAAATATTTGTTTACATAGTACCAATAGGACCATTTGCTTACAGAAAATAAATATTTACTTGAAAAAAAAAATGATATTTTTAAATTATAAGTATAATTTTATTTAATTAAACAAATACTTCTTTACTATAAGAAAATAATCCCATTGGTACTATCTAAACAAATATTTATTCAAATTTCGTAAATTTTTTTCAGTGTGGTACAAATATACATAGCAATAATTTATATATCTTTAATATAAATATATACACATCAGTGGATGGGATAAAAATTTTCGTTATTCATTCAATGTGTATTTCGCTATATAGATACTCTCCATTTTGTATTATTATCTATACAATAATCTGAGCCGGTAGAAAAGGAAAGGTATTGTAGACGTACACAGGCCGATTAAATGCAAAAGAATTCGCGATCGCTAAAGCCGGATTCGTCGTCTCGAAATCGTCCTCGGATTGTTCGTTCGGCGCTGTCGTGGGTTCCCTGCTGCGAGGTGTTGTCGTGGTTTTTACAGTGGTGGTTCGTGGCCGTATGGTCGTGGTCGTGGTGACTAACGGGTTGCGATAGATAGCTGCGGTATCCGGGGGTCCGTAGCTTTGTAATCCCGGAGCATCGTAATACGCATGCAATCGATTGTTATAGGGATTAAAATGCCGGCCATTAGGACGCCAACCTCTGGGCTTATACCCTGATAAATCTGATGTCACCGCTAGTCCGATATAAAGGAGGACGAGGATGAGCTGGAAAAAAATATAGAGAATCGATTTAATTTAAATAAAGAGAGACGATGTGACATGCGCTCGAATGTCCGAACCAGAGCGTTATTTTCATTCGTTTATCTGATGTCTGCTTATTTATTTCGCGAATATCGAGCTGTTTTCTTTTAACAATGTCCATTTATCTAAGGCATACATTATACATATTTACGTATTTTAAATGGACGAAAAATAAAATAAGTAAATAAATTGTAATCTTTTCGTACAGAAGTTTAAAACGTTTTAGTTTAGCAAATAGAATATAACGTAAAAATGTAAAACGTTTTATTGTGAACTTTTGCCTATTAAAATACTCAGATCTCGTAAATAATATTTCATCGTTATAGTGAACGTTTTGTTCATGATGAAAAGCAATTATCTATATATCTCGCCATTTCGCCAGCAGCGGATCAGAACTCTTGGCAAAAGCACTTGCGCACTGTTATTGCGTTACTATCATTATCTAGCGATCATATTGTTCACGATATTCCTTAGTGTGCCAGATCCGTTGTTTAACGAGACCATTAACAGTTTCTTCGGTAACGAGAGAAATACACGCGTCGAATATCTTTGCAAGAAAATGAAATATACTATTAAATTTATTATGACGAATTATATTCAACTTGAATGATTTTTAATTATTTCTACAAGTCGTTGTTCTCTTCTTCAATATGATCTTAATTTAATATAATTAAAACAATCAAGTTAACTCACGAAAATTCTTCGGCAGTGAGAGAAACGCATACTTCAAATTTTGATAGGAACAAATAAAACGTTGTTAAATTTATAATGTTTAATTATACTCAATTTGAATTATTTTTAATTATTTCTATGAACCGTTACTGCTACTTCTACTTAATATGACCTCAACTTCGTGTAACTTAAACAATGGAATTAAATAATTTAACTCAGAAAAATGTACTTTTGATTTAAATTTAATTTATTAGAGGAGAAGATAATATTACGGCACCCAATTACATTTTACACAATAACTTTGTTAATAATCAATATTTAAGTTTAAAACTTGATAATTACATTTGTTAAATAGTTGTTAACTGTTCGACTCTGAGTTAAAAGTTATAAAATATTTATTACTTAAGACACTATTAAATAATACTATTATATAAAAATGTGACGACATTGAATAATGACTTGAAGAAAAATATGGGTGGTAATGTGGCCTTTCATCAAAATAATCTTAAAAAATAAGTTTTGTTTAGAAAACAGTATTTGGTTATAAAATTAACAAAAAAATAAACATTTTAAAATGTATGCAAATAAATGTATATACATTCACACAACTTCTGAATATAAGCTGCATAATATTAAAAATATTACACGTAATTAAATCTAAAAAGCTAAAATGTACTTCAGAAACGTTTTGAAATTAAAAGTAAAAAATTGCATTATAATAAATGCTGGTTACTGATTATTGATATTAAGTGGTGTAACGGCGATCTACTAAACGGCGAACAAATAATTCCATAATACTTTCTCTTAACTAAGTGCATTAATGTTGATATGAACGTTTACTTTGAAACTAATCACAGAAATGGATTGATTTTTACACATATGGAAGTTAAAAATAACAGTAGGTTATTTAATATTAAACTAAGAAACTCATAGGACCGTACGTATAAGTACACAACTAATAGGAGATAAATGCCTTTTAACAATCAAGTTAGATCTTAAGTGTTTGTATAATTCTATGTGAATTTATGTACTACGTTTGTAGTCCTTTAAACTACGCGTCGAAATGATTTTTCGGTCTTGAAACGCTAACTTCACTGAACTACCGCAATAAAATCGTAAGTTAAATTACTAGCAATTTAACAATTTGATGCTCATTCCTTGATCTGAAGGCTTAAAACGCTTGTACGGAATACAAGAGATCCGAGTTCGACCCCGGCCGAGGTAATATTTTTCGCAATAAAATTATTTACAGATTTTAATATGTCATTCAGCACTATTAAGATCGTTCTGAGATATTAATGGACATCGGATTGTTAAATTGTTAGTTAATCTAACTTGTGATGTTACTGCAGTACTTTAATGGAGTTTGCGTTTCAAGACCGAAGAATCATTTCGGCGCGCGCAGTTTAAAGGACTATATAACATACGTAGTATATAAATTCACACAGAACTATACAAGCACTTAAAATCCAGCTAGACCATGTTAAAAGGCATTTATCTTCTAAAAGATTATTTAACTCACGGGTTTTATCATAGCTCCTTTGATATTTAACAGTGTTTTACCGTCTCTCTCATTTTTGTCGATGTTAATATCGCTGCTAAACGTGCGCTGAAAAACTTCGGACTGTTCTTTGCTGAACCGCCGATTCTGTCTTTATATGCGAAACTACCGATGTATCAGATCGGTGCCTAAGCTTCGTGAATACGAAACAAGGTGAAGACGAAAACGATTTCGTTTTTCGTTTCGCTGCTGTTTCGTAATACGATACTTATATTACGTGTTAAGAATGTTCGCGGCAGGGCGAAATGATATTTCTGTTGTTGTATTCTGGATATATATCAATTTTACGTCGAACTTACGGTTCAGTTGGTTTTGTTCTGTTTGAGGAAACGGAACCGTATAAAAGTCTTGACGCAAGACGAATTAAATATGATCGAACGTGTGTTGCTTGGTACGTTTGTATACTCCTATAACTGTCGAATTTTCATATCTGAGTTGCTGCAGTGAAATATTACGTATAATACATTGGTATACATGAACAGATATCTGTAAATACGTTTTACTATCGTGATAGAATATATTCCGCGGTGTGTTTCTCATCGTGTACCAAATTAGCGATTTGAATACTGATAAGCACTGCATTCGAATTTGCAGGAAACAACGGCAGCGAGTTTTCAGGGAAATGAAATATTCTTGAGTTTATGCGTGCATGATAAATTATTACATTTCTTCTGCGTTACTTCTAGAATTTAGAATCGAAATTAATAATGAGAAGGATGCTAATTATGTCAGAAAAGTTAGTTTGTTTGTCAGATAGTTTTTATCGATTTATACAAGCTATATCCTAAGAATGAAAACTAATTTAAATAACAATAACATGTGTATACCTACACATGTATCTCTTGATGGAAACCGGATCAAATGCAGGATAAATGATATATGTTGCATTTTTTTCGCATATCCACTTCTAGAGTTCGAGATAGATATTTTAGAATCAAAAATAGACATATTAAATTATGGAATTATTTGGAATAGATTTTGATCGAAATTGTTCAGTTATTTTCTAGATTTCTACTGTGTTTCCTAAGGAAGATGGAATAATTTTGATCATAGAGTTCATTTCGAACAGATTCCATAATAAGTGCCGATAATAAGTGTATGTAATAATAAGAATGCTATAATTATGTTAGAAACGTTATTTAGTTTTCTTCGATTTGTACAAGCTATATTCTAAGAATGGAAACTAATTTAGGTGATAACACAATAACGTATGCACATGTGTGTCCATTGGTGAGAACCGGATCAATGCTTTTCATCATTTGGGTGTTTTAGGCATGGAAGCGGGAACACATTCATTGTAGTAGCGGGTGTTGTAATGGCTTGCGTGAATTAAGGACGTGTCTGGAATTTAAGATCACGCGCGCAACTGTAATGCATACCTTATGAATTCGTAAGACCGCTGCTTGTTCGCCTATATAAATTCGCTCGGGACGATTCAGAAACGTGGCGCGCGAATTAATCGCCGATTTGACAGTGATGTTGAGTGACGACGTTAATTAGAATTCTGACTTGTCCGTATTTAGAACTTGCCGATTGAAGCGTGTCGTCGATCGCGCATCATAGCTTATAATGCGGCATTTGTTCGTGATATTCGCTTTTATAAGGTTTTCATCGCTTTGAATTTGTCTCATTTTAAATTTCTATTTTCTTATCATTTACTTTGCAACTGTCACTCATCGCACTTATAGAAGATATATTTTAATTCAAATTTAACGAGAGAGAAATATGAAACTGGAATCGATTATTCTTTTTTCGATTCAATTTTTAGTTGAAAATGGACAAAAATCACAAGAATAATAATAAATAATTTAATCTTTGATTTAATCAAAATTCTAATCATATCAATCCAAATTTTGATTATCTCAACTAGAATTATAATAGATTCAGAAAATTTGATCATTTTTTCAACCAGAATTCCTTAATGTATTATAGTTAGACTCTATTTCTAATATTTCTTTTACTTCTTCGTACAAATTTTTCTAGCCTGTTGATTATAGAACAGAGAGATTCAGAGACTTTTTTATCGTGCAGCCTCTGACAAAAATGCACAAATGTAAAATTCCTTTAAGATCTAGAAATATTTGCGCGTAAAGTTACTGCTAGCGCACATCTGCGTGCAGATATTTACTGCAAATAAGAGGAGGGAAATAATTTCTGTCTGACAAATTTTGACGTTCAACTTACTTTCTTGTCGTATTCGCACGATAAGAAAGATAAATAGAAAAGACGAGCACGCGGTGCGCTATCGTGCGACTCGCGAAATCGAGATAACAACGCTGTCGCAGACAGACGACATGAGTGTCGGATTGATCGAAAGCATGCGATATAATAGTTCGCGTGTCGAGAGAACTTTTGTTCTCTGATTGAGTATATCAAGTATTCTGATCGAGTAACAAGTGGTAGACGCGTCCGTCATGTCACACGTCAAATGCAGCGTATTATGCGGCGTTCATTTCTATGGCTTTGTGATATCTAAAAACAACGCTGCAGTTGTCTTCCTCTTTATCGATAAAGGTTCCGCGTTAACGCTCAAAATGGCTTTTTTTATTCATCGATATGCGCGCGGCAAAATCCATATGGCTTTTGCGTTTCTATGTTATTTTTAGACTAGATGTTTGAGAACAATCACCATAAAATAGAACTTTTTTTAGTATTTAAAAGATTAAAATCAGCATAAAGATATTCGCTAGAGAGAAAAAAAGATTCTGACACAGAAAATATTGCTTTGCAGTGGGAAAATAATGCTTACATAACAAATATTTCTTCTTTCGTGATTAACGATTACCGATAAGTTTTAAGCTTTATGTGACATACTTGTATGTTTTAAACGTTGTATAAAATATGAGAAATTTATTACATATTTTATTACCGTTTATCTATATTTAATATGAATTTTTATTCATATTTAAATTGCTTACAAATATATTTTTAAATTCTATTGAAATATGACCATTTTATCATTTATTATTTTGTATTTATATTTTATTTATAATTTTCATTTTTCACAATATATGATTTATGTCACTTTTTGTATTATACGTTTGTGTAATACACATAAAAACAAACAAAAGATTTGTGGAAATGCTAAAAGTGACATACCTGTTACAATGACGGTCGTTTGCTATTTTAAATTAATTATTTCATGCGAAATATTAAGATCAAATATAAAACAAAATATTATACCACAATGTTAAATAAAAGTTAAGACAAATTGATGATTATTTATAATTTTTAAGAAGAAGGATTATCAAGCTTTAATTTCAATGTTATGCAAGATTCTTATTGCTTATTTTGTTAAGGATACTATGTATGTGGAGTTAAATGCTTTTTTCTACCATACTGTTAAGTTAATCTTGTTGGAGTAATCTCGTTCCGTTTTATGGTAGAGGCAATATGAAAGTATGTTATATTACATGTTGGCAAAAGTTCCTTTTGAAGAAAAAAAGATTTAATATACGGATCTCGTAAAAAGCAACGTGTAATTTTCATCTGCGCACATAATGTGAGATTAATTTTTCAGCGATTTATTGTCCTAATGTACCTAATGTATTATTTAGGAAGTGAAATATTGATAAAAATTTAAACATGAATATATATATATAAAATTATATTAATTTAGATATTTATTACTTTTATTATTAGTATCGAAAGATTTAATATTATTCGATTTAATTTTATGCATATTAACTTAGAACATACATATTGGAAGAGCCATTCCGTACTTGAGCAATGTAATAAAAGTGTCTCCAATATTTATCTGTCCTTGTTTGAAAATTTGTTTGCTATGCGTTTGCGCGTGATTTATATGCGAGCTTTGAACGTACATATGTATATGTATATGTTCTAAGGCGAAAGTACAACACTCTTAGCACTACATAATAGGTCTGTTCGCGTTGTTTAAAATCTTTAAAATATTTTTGCATTGAAAATGGGATGTATATTTGGGTGTTAAAAAGAAAGAAAGTGAAGATGTTGAGTGAAAAAAGTGCAAGCAACGCGAACAGACCTAATAATAATCGATGCATGCTCATTACGGTCAAGCATTCAGACAAGAACAAATAGATGTTGGAGCCGATGTTGGAAGTATATTAGGTGTGCTTATTTTCGATACGAAATTTTGTACCGTTCTGCGCATAATCAGATGCGGCCATTTTAAACATTTACATTGCAGTAACCTTGAAGTGACATATTATGGAAATGAGTATATGTCAAGTAAAATGTATAAATAGTTCCCGAAAAAAAGGATGCAGAATTTTATATTTTTTTCGATTTCCGAAGAAAAGAACGCAACATAATGTCATAATGACAACTTCAAATAACCGCTGCAACATGTTGGCTTCTGGGTACTATTTTTCTTATATATGTTCAAAATGCGCACGAGCACATCTAATGTACTTTCACCATGGTTGGAGTCATCGATAGTCACCTATGGCCCTTCAGTATGTATGTTTTAAGCCTATTAAGTAATGCTATAAGTTAGATAATAGTTTCTGAAACGCCATCGATGTTGTTTTCAATTCTTGCGATTCCTTCATACTCAGCCTTCTTTCTCGCATCTTGTCGTCTCTGCTCATCTTTTGTTATAGCGGTCAAAATAAAACCGAGTAGCAAAGCCAAGCATAAGCCGATGTGCACCGGAATGTCGCCGTATGTGTTCATTAATAATTCTAACGATATAATGAGTATTATGCTGTAAAGGCTGGTTGTTATATTGAGTATTCCCGCAGATATATTTTCCGACTCTGGATATGTGAATTCGGTGCACAAATCATATCCTATGGTCAGATAACCCGACATAAAGTATCTGTAACGAATAATAGAATGTAATACATAGCACCTATAAGATTTTTGACAGATGATGTTTAAAATATGTCAAATAAAATGTAATAGAAAAAAAAAATAAATATGCTAAAATTTACAATTGCTTTATATCACAATTTGATTGATATGCATTGAAAAAAGAACCTAAAATATTAACAGTAAGAACTGTGAGAGCAATAATTTCATTTTACTAAATTGTTAAAAGATGAACTTCTATTGCATTTACACAATACATTTTTGAAATAGTAATATTTTTAATATGTGCATAAATAATGAATATCGATATATTACCCTAAGAAAATCGCCGACACGTACACCATCCATTTTATACCCATGCATGTAAATATTGCGAATATTACTTGACAACAGAATGTAAGAAAGTATACAGTCAAGGCAGTTTGTCTGAAAATAAAAAATATAAATTATTGCTGATTTTTCCAACGTATGATTTACGATAACGTGAATTTTAATTGGATTTTTTAGACAATTACAACTTTTTTTCTTACTTGTACTTATGCGTTTTGTCAAGGATGATACCAAAACTAATAGAACCGGCCATACCGGTAAGAATTATGGCTAGACCAATTCTGCCTGCGTCTTCTTCTCCATTCTAAAATATACGAGCGATTATACATATCTTACCTTTAGATATATTTGCAAAAATATATGAAAACGTTCTTAGATGTTGCTCACCTCGAAGTGTGCGAGGAATATTTGATTGAGTAAAGTAGACACAGCAATAAATACACCAACGTTCAAACCATAGGAATTACAGAGCATGATAAAGTTTTTGTTTCTGCAAAGCCCTTTAATCGGCTCCACGAATTCCTCTCTTTTCTTCATCCGATTCATTTTTTGCAATGCTCGTGTCTCGCTCGGCGGTAGTCTTGGTTCGTTCTGAAATACTGATACAAAAGCACATTGAGAAGATTAAAACGCGATAATTTTTCTTGGAGTGTGAGATCTTTAATTAATTAACGGTTTATCGTCCTTCTTTCGCTTCTGCTCTCTTTGTGTGTGATTATATAGCTGGAATAAATAAAAATAAAACCTGGATAAAGGGATTGAGATTAAAGTGGATTATAGGCTGTATTGGAGAATTTAAGTACATTAAAAATTAGATAGATTGAAGGATAGTTTTTTTCAATTAATATTGAGAAGAGGTTACTTAGAACATCAATTATAAATGGTTGTCTAAAAGATACATTCAAATATCATTTACTAAAGTTATCACATTGCATGGGTACATAAAAGTATAAATTTTATATTAATATACATATGTAATACAAATATATAATTTTGGTTTTTTATTATTTTATTAAGTTAAAAATTGATTTCCCATGTTTGGGAGAGTATAAAGAAATTAGGAAAACATTTTTGTATTAGCTCAGATATGTTTAATTTTAGATGAGAATTAAATACTTATACTGTCGAAACTATTACTTGTTCTGTTAATAATAGATTGAACTTACATGTAAGCACAAGAGCGAATGCAATTGTGCAGACGATTGCGACCATCCAGCATAAACGTGACAAATCTTTGCCGATATCATCCAAATTGTCATGATTTTTCACTATTATAGGCCCTAAAAGAAAACACAACGCCACTCCAAATTGATTGCCGAAAATACTCAAAGACGTGGCGGTCGAGATTTGGGTAGAAGAAAACCATTGCGCGGCCAATCGTCCTGGTATCGGTAGCACTGTAGTCTGATACAAAATAAAATAATTACTCTTTTATAAGTAAATTGTAGAGAATACAGAGTAATGATCCAATCATAAAAAAAGAGGAAAGGCAAAAGTTATAATAATATCGAGATTTTTGATACAGATTAATAAAGTGAATTATTATAAAAGATATAACCTGCGCAAGAGCGACTAATGAATGACCGATGATAACAACGTAGAATCTATCGGGTTGAATGGACAATGTTTTTATCCAGGCACCAAGACAGTTAAGACCGGCGCCTATGGTGATGGTCCATCGCAGACCGCATTTGTCTGTCACGTACAACGCTGGAAATATAAACGCTATGTAAAATGCCATGAACGACATTGAGGTCCAGTCAACCATCATTGAAGACACTCCATAATACCTAAATAATACATAAAAAAAGACATTGACACTTTTACATTCAAAGTTGTTTATATTTTGAAAAAAATATGATACCTAGTAATTATGTTGGTTATAATCGAGTATTCTATCCATTGAGAATTCGATCCAGCATAAATCATGAAGATAATTAACATTAGCCACCTCTTTTTATATACTTTCAATTTTAATTGTTTGAGGTCGGTTGGTTCGCCAAACTCTGTTATTTTTGTTAGATCTTTTTTTGTGAGTACTTTGCTTTGGCTTTTATCTTCCATTATTATTTTCACTCTTGCAAAATAAGTTCCGTAAAGTATAACTTTGATTTGTATGTGTGTGTTCTATTTAAGTTGAAAAAATTTAAATCCTACACTTTTCTTGAAATTTGTTTTCAATATGTGCAAAAGCATAGTTCCGAAATGCGTAGTATATATCTTATTAATATAAATTGTACAATTATTAATATAAATTGTACAATTTCATATCGTTAATTTCACTATTAAAATTGCCTTATTAAATCTAGAATAATGATCTTATAAGTAGCGTGGTTTAGAATCGTATTTTACATTACAGGATTGTTCAAATTTCGCGGATTTGAAAATGACACAATAATAAAAAAATTGGTATTGATTGAAATTGAGATGAAATGTAACTGCAAGTCATATACGTAAGATTTCTATTGCACAGATAGACTCGTTTAATGACAATTTACCTTATCTATACATGACAATTTACCTTATCTACACATGAACAAATAAAGTAACGTCATTAGCAAATCTAAGAAGATTTATACTTAGTCTTATCACGATTTTTATCAGATTCAAAAACATTTCATTTATTCAGAAACAGCACTTTTTTTCATTTTTAAAACAACTGCGATATTGTGCGTTATTTATTTTATTTTTGTGGTATTGAATAATCTACACGTATAGTGTAAATATAAAATGCATTATATTGTGACATAAAATGTATGCTATTGCATTTTTATTCAAGCAATTGGAAATATGGAGACAAAAGTTTGCATATAAATTATGCGAAGAGCTGATGCGACTGTATAATTAGCTATTTAAATTGTTTTTTATGGTAAATTAAACCATTTTTGTACTAACTGTAATTATAGTAATTTATGATTACCAACTACATATATTGGTTGATAGGATTATACGTATAGTTACTATTACAATAGTTACTATTACAATATCAGCCTTTTCAATTTTAGCTCCAGAGCCAAAACGCAAAGCCAACGATGCAATAAATTCAATGTAGGTAAGACTTCGGGGATTATAAAATATTGATATGTATCTGAGTGTGACGCTTATCAACACTTTACAGTCCTTGAAATTTTGTATTGAATTTTTTTGCGTCGATGACTTCACGTTTTGATTTCGGAGCTCAAATTGGACGGGCTTGGCTAATACTACGACAGTCAGAATCGTATTTATAGTTATATAATAATTATAATTACAAACATCAAATAGTTTTTCTCTTAATGCGTAAAATGAAATATTATACCAAAATGTTAACTAGTACGATTAAGTAAAAATCAAAATGAATTGATGACTATTTATAATTTCTAAAACGATAAATTGTCAAATTTTAATTTCAGTGTTATGCAAGAAACGTTGATTATTTTGTTAACGTTACTATGTGGCGTTAAAAAAACCGTATGTTAAATCTTTTTTTCTACCATATTGTAAAGTCAATTTTCTTAGAAAAATCTCATTTCGTTTTATGATAGAGGTAATATGAAAGTATGCCATATTACTTGTTGGCAAAGAGTTCCTTTGTAAAAAAAAAATTTAACATACAGTTTTTTTAAAAAGCAATGTATAATTTTCATCTGCGCATACACATTGTGAAATGAATCTTTTTAACCATTTTATTGTAATATATTATTTAGGAAACATTGATAAAAATTAGAACATGAATAAAACGATATTGGTTTCAAAATTTATTAGTATTAAAAGATTTAATATGATTATTTGTAACAGTTAAGTAATGCTATAAGTTAGTTGAGTCATTTCTGGAACACCATCGGTTTGTTTTTCAATTCTAGCGATTCCTTCATATTGAGCTTTTTTTCTTGCGTCTTGTCGTCTCTGCTCGTCTTTTGTTATAATGGTTAAAATGAAACCAAGCAACGAAGCCAAGCATAAGCCGATGTACACCGGAATGTCGTTATACATGTTCATTAATAATCCTAACAATGTAATCAGTATAATGGTGTAAATGCTTGATACTATGTTGAGAAGTCCCGCAGGTATATTTTCCGACTCTGGATACGTAAATTCAATGCACAAATCAAGTGATATTGTCAGATATCCCGCCATAAAGTATCTATAACATATAATAGAATGTAATAAATTCTCTAAGATTTTTGACAGATAACATTTAAAATATATATCAAATAAAATGTAATAAAAAGGTTCTAAATGAATATGATTTTAAACTCTACAATTGTTTTTTTTCATAATTTATTTGATATAGATATATATATATATATA